ATCTTACATCCACAAATGTAAACATATCTTATTAGTATTGTGTTATGTTACCCAAGGCTAGTACTGCAGAACAACTATAATAAAATTATAGTTGTGTAATAAAAGTCTGCATTTATCGTCAGGCTTATTTTTTTTACTGAAACTCACTATTAGATTCAATGAAACATGTTCAGAAATCTGCTTATTGGTCAGAAGGGTTTATCTGTGTATTAACAATCTCAGTATAAATGCAGCTATTCTCTGAAGGGCTCAGATGCTTGATTGGGAACATTACAGAGCAAACAGGATGAAAAAACAAAGAACAGAGTGGATAGGCCAGGGATGCAATTGTGGAATGTTAAGTTTCATTAGATTATTATTAGACATTTCAAGATTTCATGCATCATAGGATCTTTTCAGTCCTTTAATTGGAAACCTAATTACACCACTATAAAGCCACCAAGACATGACCATCCTCCATTCTAGTTAACATTTTGAACAAAGAAGAATTAGCCGTACACGACTAACCTGATATGTATGTGTCGGTGATTTTGGAGACAAAAGATAACATAAGAGGATCAGTTTGCATAATGACAAGAGATGCTCTCATTTAAAAAAAATGCATCTCTTTGATGTATATGCAACTTGCATTGCATAGCAGAAAACAGAAAAATGTAAAATTCCAAGAAAACATAATTTCATGATGAAACATGGTGGTGGCAGTATAATGCTGTTGGGAGGCTTCCATTAGAGCTGATAAAAAGAAAAACTTTCAGAAGAGCAAAGTAACTAGGCAAAAGTATGACCAGAAGAAAAGAAATGCTTGAGGATCTGAATAAAGACTTATTATGTTCAGTCATGATCTCCAGCAAATTTGACTGAGATACTTTCAAAATAAAATTAAGGGGGGAAAATGTCTTTCCTTGGCTGAGATATAAGTTAAATATTTGCTGGTGTGATTGTAAATAAAATGCATACATTTTTTAAATCTCCATATAAAAAAAATGAATAAATAAAATAAAAACCAGGACTGATTTTCCCTTCACTTCAATGATGCTTTACTTTGTGTCGGTCTATCCCATAAAATCTAAATACAATACGATTAATTTGTTGTTCTAACTTGAAAAGGGCTTGACAGATTGCAAAAGCACTTATTCAATGCCCGATATATGACAATGATAGATTTTTTCCTTTTTAAACCTTTGCTTGGTTTGGCAATAAACAAAACCAGGTAATTGTTTTTTTGTATTTAAGTTGAGATTTCTCAGTTTATTTTTATTAAAATATTCATATAGACCTAACGAGAGTTGAGGTGTGCTAATGGGACACTGAATAGAATTTGGTCTAAAAAATAAGTTGGAAAAGGCTACAACCTGGAATGATTAAGGAAAAACTTTTGGCACTTTATTAAAAGTGCTTAATGTAGACTTAAGCAGTGTTAAATATATTAGTAATCTAACAAAAGCAAAATACAAATACTGTTTGATGATGGGAATAATAATCTAAAGTTAAAATTTGTAATATTATCTACGTGACATATTTTGCAGTTAACTTTAGATTCCAATTAACTGAACTTGACATGTATGTCCATGTTTTCTCTTTGACAGGATTTTAAAGTAAATTGAATTAAATGTGTTAAGTTTGCCATAAGAATTAGGATATAAACCAAAATGCATTTCAAATTTTAAAAAAGGAAGCAAGACATAAAAGAATCGAGATGATAAGTTGTCATATCGGAAGTTAAAATACCAGGTATGCTAAAGAATATTTATTTTATTGTAAAAAAAAAAGAAAAGAAAAAGAAAAGTTTAAAAAACTTGGTTTTAAAGCTTTGTATTTAAAGTCCTATTACAATCATTTAAGCTTAAGACAAGACTGGGTTTTAAATGATTTGCAGTATTTATGATTTGTTTACATTTTTTAAACTCAATAAATAGAAATAAAAAGGTTTGATTAAGCAGTATTTTTGGACACAATGTGTCTTTGGACAAATATTACTATCTATAAACATGTTTGCTAAATTTCTCCCGTTTTAAAAACAAAATAAACCTTAATACGTTACTTTTACTTTGAAAGTGATTATAACAGTTCACATTAATTAGTACTGGTAATAGAAAATAATTGAATATATTCTTTGTGTTACAGAAATGAAAAGCTTTAATTTGCAGATTTTATTTACCGAACTGTGCATGTTATTACATTTATATACATGTCATCCACTCTAACATTTTCAGCCCCCATGATCATGTCAGAAATCCATCACTCACTGCACACCATTAATCCACAATACACCCTTACTTGAGAAGCCTGGACAGCACCTCTTTGCCAGTCTGAGTCCACAACTTTGGCAAGAACAGCCTGACGCTCAAGTGGAGGGAGATGGACAAAGCGGAGACACAATCTGAGGACATTTTCATCAATTTCTTTTACAGATTTTAGGTCTTGAAAGCAAAGAAGCAGGTTTGAAAAGTCTTGCTGCAAACAAAGGAGAGTAAAGGTCTGTCACATTCTCTGTGACAACGCTAGCATAAGCTTTCCATGGAGACTATGCAATTGCTCCTATTATTGGATTTTTAAAATGTATTTTCCTAAATAATTTATTCGTAATCTCAAGCAGATTTGGCAAAAAGTAATAAAATGGAGTAAGGTTTCTAAGTCCTCAAAGGTTTGGCTTATCTTCTTGATTTAAGAAAATCACAATGAGCGATACAACATTTATATAACAGGTAAATTATAAGTAATATTTTTTTGGAAAATTTGGAAAACATTTAAAAATTAATCTTTCAAAAAAATCTAAACGTCTCATTGCAGCATGCATGGTTGTTGAAGTGGTTTTGAAAAGGAAACTGGAGAACAGAGACAGACTACCTTACTTTCCAGTTCAGAACTGTGTTCTTTGTCTGGGTCTCTCACCACATTCTGTCTGACTTTCTTGTTGTTCTTTGTTATCTGAATATCATTGTTGATTTTGCAAATATTCTACATGAAAATTATTCCAATTTACCTATTTAAACATAATTAAACACTTTGATAGCTTTTTAAGGGCCTAATTCTAATTATTTGTTTTTTCATCTTTAAAGTCCTTTGTGCATTTTACAGCAAAATAAAACAAACAAAAACAAAACATATACTAAAAGATTGTGCCTCTCAACAAGAGACGCAATGTGAAGATGAATTAAATTTCTGAATTACCACCTTGTTAGAGGAACATGTAAAAATACCTCTGCACAAATTTCAGTTGATTTAATCTAAAAATGTTAACTTTAGCTTCACATTCATGATGATAATGTTTTTCCTCTCTTTCTTGTATGTCTGTCCAATACAGCTATGATGAGCAGGATGATTACATTTTAACATGAATGTTCTGTCAAGTTGTATGTTTCCGTATACCGTATGACTTTTTAAAGTCATGATGCTTATTTTCAGTGTTCAAGCAATGCAAATGAGTCACATTCCCTACAATTACCAATATTCAAAACTCTTATTGCCAAAAGTATTAAAACCTACTCTGTATTGGTGTACTATTATAAAGAAACATTTAATTTACTTAAATGGACATGTAAACCTGCCTTGAAGATATTTTTCAGGCTGATCATCTCTTTTAAGACGCTGCATAAGGAATGTTTCTCATAAACATTGCTCATAAAGGCTGCAAGCTGCTTTAGTGGTATTAAAGATTCTGAATTTGGAGAAGGAAACACAGATATTGATGGATAACAGATTTTATATTTACATGTTTTGCATACTGATGAGTTACTTAAGATTTTTAAGGGGGATATACACCGTCAGTGCAACGCATAGGTTACGCTCTAGGCAGTTTTCCATTTGAAACGGTTAAATGATTTAGAGTGGATGTTAATATGCTTATTCAACACTCATATTATGCATATAGATTTGGGGCACTGTTCTTAATTTAGGATGAGTTAGTTGAAGTTCATAACTTTCACACATAGTGATGTTTATTTACTTAGCAGGTCACAAAGCTCATCTTTGCTCAGAGCCCCGTTGGAGCATTCTCTTCAGCGTCTCAAGTAAATTTCAGTTTTCAAACATACGAGCTGCTTTGCTGCTCTGACGCGCTGTTACGCGTTCTGTGTATTTAAGTTGGCCTTGGAACTTTTATTTATTTAATTTATGGCTTAAAATATTAACCCATAAATTATTGACTTTGAGATGCAGAAAGTTAGATGGTTTTGCTGGTCTAATTCAGTTATACTGCCCAATGAACTTTTTGCCAGATAAAGCTGTTCTCCGATGTAGTAGTTGTCACTCATTGGATGTATTCTTACACATATGACCCCAATTTAGACCTTTACTTTGGCTTAGACGCACATCTGTCAGAAGACGAAATCTGTGCTTCTAACAGCCACTCTTAAGGTTTAGATATTTACACAGGTTGTTAAACCACAGATGGCATAATCAGACAACTCCTAGATTGCTCTCTTCCACCAAAGACATCTTTAAATCTACGGTTCTAAATCTAGGTATGTAATTAATTAGTATGTGCTAAAAGTACTGTGTTATCAGCATACTGTATAAGTGTATGTACCTGCAATTCCAACCACAACTAAAGTAAATCCTCTTTAAATCCAAGGGTTTCATATGTCCAAAGGTCAGATATCTGTATTTATTAGATAATGGAGGGTTATTTGAGGTTGTGGCTGCTTAGGTTAGATTTTAGTTCTAGACATTGCAGAATAACATATAAGACTGAAAGAAGGTGCACTTTTTTTTTTTTTTTTACAAAAGAGCAAGTGAAACAAACAATGATATAACTCCATAAGAGATTAAATGAAGTTTTCATAAAAAAAAATACTATACAACTCTATTTAACAGGATTCTAGAGGCTCTGTGTTTCCTTTTCTCTTTGCATTTAGTTCATACGGTATATTAATTATACAAGGAAGGTTACAAGTCGTCTTTGTATATCTGTTTTTTACATCATTATTATCATATGCACCATGCAAGTGTGTACTTTCACCTGCATTTTTTTTCTAACTGATGTTACTTCCTCCCTGCAGGGATTCAGTTTCGTCTCCCTACGTCATGCAGTGTGGACCGCGCTCAACCACCTCCAGGTAGCAGAGTTATCTCCTCTGTTTCTCAGTTGTAATAAACAAATGGCTCTTAATATGTAATTGAAAAATAAATAAGGCCTAATCTGTTGTTTAAAAAAATATATCAAGAGGGATTTTATTTATAATATTTCTCCTATAACCCCTATATATCTCCATATTCCCTATAAAACGGTATCTTAGTTTACCTGTTCACTAAAACTTAACACAGCTTCATTATAAGAATGAGTTTACACTATAGCCCCCTAACCCTGAATAAACCTAACAATAAGAGTACCAATCAAATAATGTCTGAAAAAAGTATCTAATCTTCACAGCTGTACTAGGAGTCAACACTCTCTGGAAAGCCCAGAACAATTTTCTTAACCCAGGTTTAAAAAGCTGTAATAGAGCCATAAAGTGGGATTTGTTTTAACACATAACCAGTTTTTGTGTTCAATCCGACAGTAAATGTTTAGATGATTTTGGGAATAGGTAGAAAAGGAGAGTTCATTTCAAGTATATCTAACTCTTATTAGTTTAACAAAAATACAAAAAAAAAAAAAATATATATATATATACAGGTGCTGGTCATAAAATTAGAATATCATGAAAAAGTAGATTGATTTCAGTAATTCCATTTAAAAAGTGAAACTTGTATATTATATTCATACATTACATACAAACTCATATATTTCAGATGTTTATTTTGTTTAATTTTGATGATTACAAATGACAACAAATGAAAATCTCAAATTCATCATATCAGAAAATTAGAATATTGTGAAAAGGTTCAAAATTGATGGCCCCTGGTGCCACACTCTAATCAGCTAATTAACTCAAACCACCTGCAAAAGCCTTTAAATGGTCTTTCAGTCTAGTTCTATAGGCTACACAATCATGGGGAAGACTGCTGACTTGACAGTTGTCCAAAAGACGACCATCGACACCTTGCACAAGGAGGGCAAGACACAAAAGGTCATCGCTAAAGAGGCTGGCTGTTCACAGAGCTCACTGTCCAAGCACATTAATAGAGAGGCGAAGGGAAGGAAAAGATGTGGTCGAAAAAAGTGTACAAGCAAGAGAGATAACCGCACCCTGGAGAGGATTGTGAAACAAAACCCATTCAAAAATGTGGGGGAGATTCACAAAGAGTGGACTGCAGCTGGAGTGAGTGCTTCAAGAACCACCACACACAGACGTATGAAAGACATGGGTTTCTGCTGTCGCATTCCTTGTGTCAAGCCACTCTTGAACCACAGACAGCGTCAGAAGCGTCTTGCCTGGGCTAAAGAGAAACAGGACTGGACTGCTGGTGAGTGGTCCAAAGTCATGTTCTCTTATGAAAGTAAATTTTGCATTTCCTTTGGAAATCAAGGTCCCAGAGTCTGGAGGAAAAGAAGAGAGACACTTCATCCACGTTGCTTGAAGTCCAGTGTAAAGTTTCCACAGTCAGTGATGGTTTGGGGTGCCATGTCATCTGCTGGTGTTGGTCCATTGTGTTTTCTGAGGTCCAGGGTCAACGCAGCCACATACCAGGAAGTTTTAGAGCACTTCATGCTTCCTGCAGCTGACCAACTTTTTGGAGATGCAGATTTCATTTTCCAACAGGACTTGGCACCTGCACACAGTGCCAAAGCTACCAGTACCTGGTTGAAGGACCATGGTATCCCTGTTCTTAATTGGCCAGCAAACTCTCCTGACCTTAACCCCATAGAAAATCTATGGGGTATTGTGAAGAAGAAGATGCAATACACCAGACCCAACAATTCAGAAGAGCTAAAAGCCACTATTAGAGCAACCTGGGCTATCATAACACCTGAGCAGTGCCACAGACTGATCGACTCCATGCCACGCCGCATTGCTGCAGTAATACAGGCCAAAGGAGGCCCAACTAAATACTGAGTGCTGTACATGCTCATACTTTTCATGTTCATACTTTTCAGTTGGCCAACATTTCTATAAATCCTTTGTTTTTATTGGTCTTCAGTAATATTCTAATTTTCTGATATGATGAATTTGAGATTTTCATTTGTTGTCATTTGTAATCATCAAAATTAAACAAAATAAACATCTGAAATATATGAGTTTGTATGTAATGTATGAATATAATATACAAGTTTCACTTTTTAAATGGAATTACTGAAATCAATCTACTTTTTCATGATATTCTAATTTTATGACCAGCACCTGTATATATATATATATATATATTTTTTTTTTTTAACAGTGTATGAGAAATGCTATATAAATAATTATATTATAGGGAGTGTTGGCCTAGTGGTGAGAGCAGTGCGCTTGTGCTTTGACAAGGTTTCAAGTACCTAGTTCAATCCCAACAGCCTGCACAATGGGTCCCTGAGCAAGACCCTTAACCCCACACTGCTCCTTAGGCACGACACAATGGCAGCCCACTGCTCCCCAAGGGGACGGGTTAAATGCAGGGAGCAAATTTCCCCATCGTGGGACAATTAAGTCATTTACATTACATTTACATTACATATAAGGGATCCTTACTTATTTTTTAACAAGACAATGAACAGATCATCATAGAGCCTTTGTGATGTTAAGGCCTTATACAACACCTAACCTGTTAAAAGAATAGCCAAAATTTGCAATTTCGTCTATCAAGGCAATCAATGGACACAAACAAGGATGCACATAAAATTGTCAGTCGGTTTTAAATTGACCAGATATTCTTTCATTGATGGGTTGATTGATGTTGTTGAGGTCTTGCTGACTGAATAGAAGGAATCAAATCTGGGACTATAATCTATAACCCACTGGAGTCCTTAAAATGATTTAACTAAGGATGGATTGGTCTACTTTTTTCATTTATGATTAAATTCCACGACTTGAATTTGGGTATCTGCGTATGCTGGTATTGTTTCAATACCAAAGCTCTGTTTGCTTTAATGTTATCATCATTATTGTTGAAATCCTCTCTGTAAGCATGATATGTTTCTATGTACATATGTATATCGCAAATGCGAACTTAAAATTATTTCAAGGTCAGAAAAGTCGGACATAAAAACTAAATAATATTAGCAAAACAAATGCCATCCTGAAATCCATTATTCAGGATTGATGCATTTACTAAATCAAAAACAGATGCATATAAAGGGGGTAAACTTTTCTGCTCTTCAGCAGATTTTTAATACCACTTAAAATGATCAGATGAACCGACTGAATACATCAAGACCTGTGGATATCTCCCATTTTTACTCACATCCAATCTACAATTTTTTTTCCAATATCAGGGCTGATACTGTTAATAGTATCCAATCCCTGCATTTCTAGATTTAACCAAGATGGTAAATCCCATTGTGAATCAAACATGCAAATTCTGCAAAGAATGAATTTTTTTTTCTACTATTGGTCTTTTTAGCTGCACAGTAGTTAGCACTGTTGCTCTCCAGCAAGTCCTGGGTTCAAATCCTGGCCTAAAGTCTTTTGGCATTGAGTTTACATGTTCTCCCCTTGCATCTGTTGGTTCTCTCTGGGTACTCTAGCTTTCTTATACAATGCCAGAACATGCATGTTTTGTTTCTATGTGGCCCTGGAAATTTAGCAAGGAGAAGTTGTTACAGCTAATGGATAAATGGCCTTACACAATAAAAAAAATATGTTGTGAACATATTTCGGCATCAAACTCACTTGAAAAAAAACTGTGCAAGAGTAATACTTATAAACCTTATAACCTTTCTACGTATTGTGTTGGCCTACCTGTTTTGGTCCTTCTGGGTTCTGTTGGTTGATTTTTGCCCGATTTGTCTGGAATTCTTTCTTGCTTAGTGGTCTTGCTGTGGTTTGGATGACTGGTTTTGCCTGCCTGGCTGGAGATAATGGTGTGGCAAGCTCTCAAAGGCTTGTAACACTCTCTCTGTCAATGTAGGGGTAGAGGTTGGTTGCAGAGATGACTTTTGGTGATTTAATGAAAAAGGGCAACAAACAAAATCCAAGACCAAAATACCAAAAACCAGGAGACATCAGGGAAAACACACACGGGGAGCCAAGCAACAATGAGAAACCACCAAAGAGTAACTGCACAAGAGGCGTATATATGAGAGACAGGAACAATGGGAGGACTAATTATCTGATAGGGAGCAGGTGTAGACAGAAGTAACCAGAAGAAGGGGAAGGAAATTGGCACAAGGGGGCAACAGAGAGCAACTCAAAAAATGCAAGACTGCTTAAATATAACAAAAAATGGAGAATAAAACAAGAAAACAAAGAATGACATAAATCAAAGTCAAACAGAAAATTTAAGAGGAAACTCAAACAGAAGTGAACAAGGGCAGAACTATAACACTTTCTTATCTTGTACCTTCTTAGCCTTGGGGTTTCTTTGCTTCACTAATGGACTAAATATCTCTAGGGCGAGGGTAGCTTTGATCCTTTGGGTGATGCCTTAAATTTGTCAGCCTAGTTCTGCTACAGCTTTCAGAGCCAAGTCCACTTGCCCTTTACTGCTCTTTGCAGGCTTACTACTTTTCCCTAACAAATGTTCACCTCCAGGTAATACACTTGCTCATACAACCCCACTTAACTCAAGCACATGTATTGCTATGCTTACACCCACCTACACACATAGATAATCCAAAATGGTTAAAGGTCATCCAAACAAAGGTTACTATTACAGCAATGTGACCTGACCTGCCTTCTTTGATGCTATATTGAGTCAGAATTTAATAAGGTCAATTACACAATTAGAATACTAATGTGATATATCTTAATTGCAGTGCAAAACTGCCTTGGTAGAGGTAGGCAACCAAGTTATCCATAAAGTATGTTGAAAATGCTGCAACAGGACAATAGGGAAAACGAAGAAAAATAATGTTGGAAATTTCCCACATAAAATTTAAAAAATGTAAAACCATTAACAGGAACTAGAGAATTTTGAGAACTCGGGTTCAAGGAGACAGAAAGAAGCAGAGATACAAGAGGCAACTGTCAACCAGCTCCACAGGCGGCCCCATCCAGGAAACACACAGCCAGGTAGATGTGTTCCAAGCCAGCTCCCA